TTAATGCACCACCATACGTTGTAGCCGCGAACCGATTCCAAGCGAACTTATGGCCGGTCGATTCGAGGAATTTTATCGGTACTTGGACAAAAGTTTTTCAGGAGTTCGCGAAAAAAAGAGAAATTTCGAAAAGTCGATGAGATGTCGATGGATCGTCGCGTGAATCGTTTAAAGAGAAAACTGATTGCCGACTGGACACTTTTAATTTGCTCTGATTGGAAAACGCGCGGAACTTTCCGGGGAAAAGTTTAGTGGCTTTCAAGGAGCTTGAATGCAGTATTTCATTAGTTTGGATGGAGAGGAGTATTCTTGGAAGAAGAATTGTTAATAATTAAATGAATCAGATGTTCATTCTGAGTATTTTCGTTGTTAGGCTAGAAGAATATCGTAGAGCTATGATTCATTATTTTTTGGAATAGAAATTTAGAAGATAAGCATTCTTTTAATTACCTTAGATTTGATTAACTTCACGTTCCATTATGAAAATAGACTTTTATTTATATAGGCGACACAGTGGAAAAAATGGTTGAAATTTTATTTCTTTCAACAAAATTCATAATTCCACTGAATTATTGACAAAAAGTGCGATAGAGTACAAACTTGAATACAATTTAATCAATATTTCATTTCACGTTGAGTCCCATAAAATCGTCATCGAATTAAATAAAGATTACCGAAAATACTGACGCGCGTACAGAAATGTATAAGTTAAACAGAAGTAAATTTGACTAGGAATTAAAATTCTAATTATTATCAAAATATTCTTGCTCTTATCGAAATCTTCTTTCAATGAAATTAATAGAAGACTATGCCTATCAAAAGTGAGTCACTATAAATTTTAGTACAATCTAATGAAAGAGTTATCTTCTTTTCTGTATCACAAATCAAATAACACAGTTTCTGCCTAACCAACCCAATAAATTTCTACTTCCTCCAATCTTCTGAATTAATTTAAAAAACGTGAATGCGCGTTAACTGTGATTCTTAAAATTACCATTCAATTGAACGTCGAATGAAATTTACCAAACTACAGGCACGCAGTGATATCTTAAACTTCAAATTGGTTACGGTAGTATAGGAGAACGTCATTTAAGTTTAGAAAACTGCCGAAACGTTATTTTCAAACTGGATACGAGGGTCGACGGCGTTCCGGAGAACGTTGCGCAAAAAATTGCAAATTATTGCGGCTTCAAGCGGCCCGAGGCTGTCGCGCGAGGTGCAGAAAATCGAAGAAAGGAAGGAAGATGCACGGGAGGAGAAAAGGGGAGAACGGAGACCGGGATATTCGACTGATTTTATCACCTTTCCGGGAGCTTAAATAGAGTTGATGCGAGAAACGACATTTTCGTTAGCGCAGAAAGTGGAATTGATCTTGTCACCGAACAGAAACCTAGAAACCCTTTTTTCCTTTACTTTTTGTACGTTTCGCTTCCCTTTTCTGTCTCCATAATTCTGCCGGCAACGGAGGTTCTTGATACCGGGCGACATTCCCACGGAAGTAATGTATTCGAAGTAACATTACGAAATTGGTGAGTTACGAAGCACAGCTCGCATACGTAACGACTTATACGATTGAGAAAGAAGTTAGAAGTTTAATCGTGAAATGGCATACTTTATGCGTTTGCTATTATCGAATCATAATCAAATTACAAAATACAGTTTATAGAAGAAGATTATACACATACGTAAATAAAAAGTAAATGATTTGTACTGAAATTCATATTGTCGCAACACATGGCCTTTTTAAAATTTCCTTCCATGTAATAAAATAAGTAGTTCCTTTTTTTACTTTGTATCATTCTATATAAGTTTAAATAATTGTTATTTCGATTCTAATAACGATCGTGCCTACTTGCGACAATAAAAGTATTTTTTCAATAAAATGGCTGTCTCTATTCGTAAATTCTATTGTTAACGATCTTTCCTTCGAACAATGAATTGGCAATTTCAATAAACGTTTCGTGAATTTCGTGTCCTGAATGCGATGAATTGTACAACCATTGAATGAACCGTAGCATTATTATAATTAAGTAGAGCTTCAATACCTTTAGAACATTGGCGATGATTTATAAAGCAAGAATCACCTTTCAACATAAAATATCAATTAATGTTCAAGTTAACTGTTTTTCGGGAGATTACTCGCACGAATCAAAATCTAGAATTGTAGAAGAATAATGTTCTATTGAATTCTCAACTAAATTTATAATTACCAACAATTCTCGGAAGCCATCTAAAGCCTCGCGACGAAAGGAAAAATCCGTGTAAAATTCGACAGGAGCCTAACTGGCGCCGATAGCCAAGAAAGGAAGGAAAGACCAACCAACGGAGCGTCGAATCGCGCCGTCGAGCCAATCTAAAAATTTCACGCCTCACAGACGCCGTCAATTATACAAAACCGTGGGGAACTGAATTAAGAAGCGTCCCGGCTCCGCTCGAGAGGAAGATTTAATTCAATCCACGGGGAAACGGGGGGTCTTATCTCGATGCAGGATAACTTTCGCTGGTGTTTCGACGGTAAGCCCGTTCGGGGAGGGGGGGGGGGGGGGGGTCTTTATCCTTCCCCGGCGAGTTTGGGTGTGAACTGTTACCATTCTAATACATTTTTTTCTCGACGATTCCCCGAGGAGGCGGCTGCCTGGATCTTGATAATACCTCGCGCCCCTCTCCCCCCTTTCCGCCACTTCCGTTTTCCACGGCGATCGCCCGCAACGACGGAAGGATCGTTCCTTCAATTTCGTCAGAGACTTTTGACTCACCCCCACCCCACGGCTGAGATTTAATCAACGTCCTCCGACTCGTATAAATTTCCTAATGGACACGGCGAGGGGGGGAGGGCGGGGTAATTTTCCAGGCGCACTCGACGCCCCCGCATAAAATCAGTCGTTCACGATAAAGCGATATCTCTTCGGGATACGGTTTCACACGCTTTCTGAAACAGCTCGCGGATGGAGACGTGATTCGGATGAAATTTCTTTGACGATGATTCGGAAAAGGGAGGCGAAGTGCGCCATCCCGGTTTCTGATCGATGGGATGTTTGTGCTGATTTTTGGAATTGTCGACTTCTGCTGGATTTTGAGAGAATCATAGTCTTAGAAGAGGAATTTTTCAGCCTTAATTATATCTATTGCCATTTATATATTATTATTGCCGTAGGAACACCTCTAGTGCAGCAATTAAAATTCTATCCACTTTGAATTTTTATACATCACTGTCAGAAATTATAAAATTCTATAAACTTCCACAGTCTAGTAATTAACTATTGCGAAATTCGCGTAAGCATTTTTATGTCGTAAAAAATTAATGAAATTCAACGTACCGGTCATTAGACGAACACAAGCTCGATTACTCACGCGAAGCATGGGAGCCGTCGAACAAGATGTCGTCCTCTGTTTGCGAGCAGAAGATTATGACGTCGAGTGACGACGTGGAAATCCGGAGGAATGTTTACGAAGTGTATAAAACCAGCGGATGCGGCCTGGGCTATGCATAAAATAACGCGGAGGAGACAGGAGTTATGAGGTTACATTTTCATTTCGCCGACAAATTTACCCCTAAATCGCGGCTGCCAGTGCCCCGCAGGAACGAATTAATCCTTCAACCGAGACGCCGCATCCTTCTTTATTATCGTCGACGGGAGAAAAATGTGACCAACCAAGTGTGGAAAATTACATTAATCAGAAATACAATACCTACATGAATGAAAACTGAATTTCAAGGTTCCCCGGATAATAGTTTGAAAATTTCTATTGTCGAGATCTAGACACTGAATTTATTAGACTTTACTCGTATGTGGATGGAGAAAAACGCACAATTTCAGCAAAAATTGAAACGACTTGTCCGAATCAACATTTGTAATGACATCTGAAAATTGCTCGATACGTGATGCGAAATTGTGGAAAGTAAATATAAAGATGAATAAACTTCGATTATTAAGACTTTTTGCTTTCTGGAAGTATGTATTTGAAATTTAATACTTTCCATAACAATAAATATTTAATGCAAAACATACTTTTTCTTTTTCAGATTTCTCATATCCTGACAATTGTTTAAATACACAACTTGTGGTTTGGATTACCCTGTAATCAAGAATCGACTTCGTGAAAAGATATATTTTCACTGAAAACTTCGTTTAGTATGAGATGTATCTATAATTTTCGAGACTGTGAAAATGTAAATGGCAAAGGCTTCTGTGTGTCTGAAATGGTAATAAAAGAACAAATATAGATGGTTTAATACTATCATATTTATTGAAATCGATCTCATTGTCAATAATCTTTATTTAACACTTATAAGAATTAAATTCTCCTCGGAATAGATTTAAAACTCCCTAATAGAAAACGCAAACTGCTGCAATGAATAATTCGCAGGCATCGAAATTCGATAAGGGATCCTATTTCTTATCGAATTGCAAACTGATTTCCATTCTCCGGTAATGTTGATTGAACATAATTACCTGGATAATTGATATTGAAAATCGAAGCCACTGATCAGACCTCGGAACGAGGTAACACTAGACTCACGTTTACAGATTCTAGCTAAAGAAACGATTCGTTTATCATTTTATAAATAATACACGGAATTGTCATTTAAATGATCTTTTATGCAAAGAATTCATTATACTAAACGTAGCCTTAAATTTACTAAAGAAACTCTTGGAACACTTCTGGTGCGCTTTAGAACAACTCCAACAAAGAATATTCAAATGTTTTATAGAAAAAAGATACTTTCAATATTTTCAACAATTCAAAAACATTTTCTGTAACAAACATTAATGCAACCTACGTTTTTCTCAACCAAAAATTGGTTCTCACCACGCACAAAAACTCTCCATGGACAACATCGCCCAAACAATAAAACAATTCACTCTCAAAAATTCAAACTTCCACATCATTCACTAAAAACCAACAAGCTCTTCGGTGAGCATTATTACAAAAACAACAAAAGATTTACAACTCGAGTCAGAAAAATATTCGATTAATCAGCGGTCACCAAACGAGTCTTATCCATTAACTTTCCGCACGATCATCGGAATCTCCGTGTTCCCATTTTCCGGATTGTTGCCCGACTTCCTGTCGAAACACCTTTCGATGTCCTGCAGGGTTTTATCCTTCGTTTCCGGCAACGCGAAGTACAAGAAACTGGTCCCGAGGAGCGAGACGACACCGTAAACCATAAAAGTTCCGTACGGTTCTAACGACTCGAACATCCACGGCGCGATTTTGACGACCACGAAGAAGCAAGTGAACGCGAAGCCCGACGTGAGACCAGACCCGAGACCTCGGAACTTCCGAGGGAACAGTTCTCCGCAAAGTATCCACGGCAGAGGCGCCAGGCCCAATGTCAGAAACACGGTGTAAAGCATCAATAGAACACCCGTAAACCACGGTCTGCCAATATCGAAGAACAAACTGAAACTAAGCAGAAACAAGGCAAAAGCAGTTCCATAACCGGACAGCAAGGTCAAAGTCCGTCTGCCCCAATACTGAATCAAAAAGCACACGACGATGCTGGTGATCAGACGAATCACGTCCATAATCAACGTCCCAATATACCCATTCTCTGGTCCAGTGACCTCTTTGAGCATATCAACGGAATAGAACACCACGACGTTGAACCCAGAGAACTGGGCAGTGAAGAAGAACACGAGCAACACCGCCAGAGGTAACAAAAAGTATCTGGAGGACAAGGTATCCCCTAACTTGGAATAAACAGATCGCTTGACAGACTTCCGTCCGGCTTTCTTCGAGTTTTCCAACGCCTCGTACTCGCCCAACGATCTCCATCCCCGTAGATACACCCACGAATCGATCGCTGAGTCCCTCAGACCTTTGTTTACCAGCCAAGTGGGACTCTCACGGGCACCGATGCAGGTCAGACAACTGATTACCGCGAAGGCCACAGAGATATACGCGGTCGTCCTCCAGTCCAGCCATGTACCGACTGCGTGAACCGTCAGAATCCCGGTTGACAGTGTCATACTGATCAGGCTCAGTAAGACTCCGCGTAGAACAGGGTCGGACGTCTCGCTGATGTAGACCGGGATCAGGGGCCCCATGAGCCCGGCACAGAAACCGGAGATCAATCTTCCGATTATGAGACAAGTGACGTTGTTAGCTAGACTGATCGTCAACCACGCGATCAGGTACATAGGCAACAATATAACCGTGGATCTCTTTCTGCCCAGGCTCTCCATCATGTATCCCGATAACCAGCAACCCGGCGCCATCGGTAGAACGACTGAAGAGGCGATCCAAGATTCCTCGTCGATCGTAGACACCCTGATCTTCTCCCCATCGTTAATAAAACTCGTCGTGTTCCGGTTGTCTGTCGATCTCGGTGAATGTAACTGCGGCAGAAGCACAGCACTGTATCCCGATGACAAACCCGCCATAAACACTCCCAACAGTGGGCCAAGAGCAGTCATCAGCTGCCGGACATAAAGTGTAATCTCGGAATCGTTGTCATCGGCCAAATACGATGTATCCATCGTTTGTCAAGAGCCGATCGACACTCTGCCAACTGTCAAACGTCACTGGCATGTTCCACCGTGCTTGTGTTTATCGCCGAACGCGCGGCGCTTGACTGACGAACGATGCCGAGGGATAATATCGTGGATCGGTTACCACGACTAAACGCCGCTGACTGAGCTTCGGGCCAGGCCGATTCGCAATTTAAATGAACGACGGAATTGTTGGAAGATATCGCGGTTTAAGACATTCCCTGCGGTTTTTGTCATTCACGGTCGCGCTGGACTTTACTCGCTCCCACGAAACGGGTTGCAGGGATCGCTAACTGGTTATTAGGCACGGGTGTAGAGATCAGTTTTAGCTCGATAACGAAATTGTTCGGTTTTTATGCAATTTTTACGCGATGACGGGAGACGTTGAAAATAAACCGCGGATGACCTCATGTGCTCCACGCGATTTCGTATGAGAATCAAGATGAAGCCGGAATTTTTCGCGAACTCTTCGTAACAGACGAGTCATTCTGCCCGATCTATGACACGAATCGACCGATCACGACGACTTTAACACTGTCACTGTAGAAATGAGTCGAGTAGCCTTAATGAATTACGCGCAAATTTATTCGAAACACAGTGACGTTTCTATTTGAATTTTGTGTAATGTAAGCTTGTTTGCATGATAATGGTTATCGTTATGATAATGGTTATCGTGCCTCGATGGCAGATCGAGAAATCTACGATTAAATTACATCCTGAACGAACTCTTTGGAGATATTCTGTTTGAAAAACAGTATTCTCTGATCTGGATTTATATGATACAATATTTAATTCGAGAAAGTTTAACAACGAAAACGTTATTTTCGGAATTGTTTTTTCCTTTTTACTCGACGTATGCGATAAGAAATTACTACTTGGCGATTGTTCTTAAGAAATTCGCGCATTTTGAAAATAACACGGCATATGAGTATTATAAAATATTTGTTTTTCGTAAACATCTTCAAAAATTGCATCACGTTTCAGCTGACGCACTAAAAGCAATCTCGTCGTCATTTCTGCCTTTTCACCCAACCTCGAGTTCGGAGATAAAAATACATTATCACTGAACTTGCCCTGATCCGTGACCATTCTTTTATGTTCCATTTATACTGTAAGCGGAATAAATGAGGAAGATTGCAACTTTATGACGTACATCGCGGAAATAACTCCTACCATTGTTTAAAAGATATTAGTAGATTTTCAACTGTGTTCGTAGACGAGCAACAACATCTCGAATATGGAAAATAATCCATGAAAATTTCTATTGAATTCTATTTTGAAATTTCTATTTCTGAATGAAATTCTATTTTGTTATATTCTAAAGAAAATGCGTACAATTCCATGAAAAACTGAAGTCCTTTCAAAAAAGTTTAGTACCTAGATTTTACTAGATCGGAGCCATTTTGTGTGGCAATAAGTAATTAACTATTTATATCTTTTATTAAAATAATATGGTTTAAGTAAACATTACTTTCCTAATATTTTGTTCTGTAAAAAACAAGCAAACAGGTTTTTCGATATTTAGAAACAACTACAAATTTCTTAAAAGATAACGAAGCGCTCATTGATATACCTAGTACTAACACTGAAACAAACAGAAAGAATAAAAAATATTTACTATATCTAACAATTAGCTTACAAATCTTTTCTTTCAACCTTCTAATAATTTCGTCTAATTTAACTGGAACTTCGCCAGTTAGCGTACCATGTATTAGTGAACCAACTGTATAAATGAAATATTTCTTAAAAATACATCAATTATTTATTCGCAACGAACATTCTGCCCGGCTACTCTCATAAAAACTTCAAAACATAACTCCAAGTTACTACACCTAACTGGAGGACCTCAGAACTTTGATCCTCAAACTTTGAACGATTCCGCATGCTTCGCCTGCACACATATCGTAGTCAATGCCGTTAAAAAATGCCAGAACTCCCTGGAAAGTATACCCGCGATACGAGGGGCAGAACGACGAAAAAACGAGCCGCGAGACGAGAAAGTAGAAAAGAGACAGAGGGGGCGGGTCTCGCTCGATCAATTTCATCCGAGAGGGGTGTTCTCGGTCGTTTTCAGAGTTCAGAAGCCGTTTAAAATTCCCTGGCCCGCAATCGAGGAGCCAATAAAAATCAAGAAATCAGCTCGGTAAACAGGAAGCTCGGCGGATTCCCTCTCAATTCCATTACGGGGCCTTCCCGAGGTCTTTGATGCACGGCAAATATACCGTGGCGCTGCGTGCTCGTTCTTCCCTCCTCTATTCTCTTTCACTCTCTCTCTCTATTTCCCTCTTCTCACCGTATCTCTGTCTCGGTCTTCATCGTCGACGAAGAAACGCGTCTTTTAATGCGGAGAACCCTCCTCTCCAAAGTCTCGTTGCCATGTGAGGCTCTCCGTGGCCGAGCGACAAAGAGGTCTTTTTAACAGTGCCTTTATGGGTGCACACCATTAGAAAGAGGGAGAGAGTCACAAGGAGCACAGACCCTCGGTTCTCCTGGGCGTGTTTCGACGTACTCGAAAAGAGCAGACTGGATAAAGTACGCCGGGGAAACTAGTTTCTTCTCTCATTTGGAGGCGGCTGCTGTGGCGGCGGTTCTGCCAGACCCCAACTCGAGAGAGGGCGCATTTGGAGGACTGAGGGACAATAAACTTTGTCACGGACTGCGTGCAATGTTACGAAAGGTGTTTTCTGTGCTGCGACGAACACTTCTATATCGTTCTGGTGACGGAATTGTTTTGGAAATTTATAATAATGTCTTTAATCCTGCAGTTCTCATTGTTGAGGCTTTTAGGTGTAGCCATGTCCTTGTGGAATTAAATTCCCTGTGTCACAGGCATTGTAGCTAGCTTTATGAGAGGGTTGACTGACAAATTGATACTAAAGCCACGAATATCTGACTGTCTTTGATCCTTTGTAAATACTATTATCGTTACGATCGAATTGAGAAAAATCGAGTGGGAGCACTTTGAGTACTGCGAATTGTTCTAACCCCATTTTTTGTTGAATGCGCGTACCTGTTAACGTCAACGTGTTTTAAGTGGAGTCGAAGGAGGATAGCCTGTCGCTCATTGAGCGTTGGAGAATTTAGGACAGGGTTTCTAGAATGCGTGCAGTCTTGGAAGAGGGTGCAAAAGATTAAACAGACTTGGATCAGCTTTCAGCTATCGATGACGTAGAGGGTTATTTATGTGAAACAGATGGGTGAAAATAAAAGATACAATTGTCGTACAACTGATCGTACATGCAACCTAAGTCGCTTCGACCGTCAGAACGACAGTTGCAACATTTATGGCGCGGTCGTATGATAGGGCAATACGATAGGCTAAAAATCTATCACCCCAAACATCTGTCAACTTGTCATATGACAAATCGTATCGTATATGGGCCACTTTAGAGATGACAAGCAACTTGACGTTACGTTGTCTTGCCTTAAGAATAAGGACTTTATTCCTCAAGGATCTGGCCACGGAGTGGGAAAGGTGGAAGTGCCTTTGGGTAAGAGAACTGTGATTCCCGACACGGCACTTAGCCCAGAATTATACAGGAACATAATCCTTTTAGAAATCAAAGGCCTCGAAATAATATTTCTAACACATAATACGGAAAAATTTGTAGAACCTAACCCGCCGTGTTATACATGGGTTACCTGTAATTTGATCAGACCTGAACCCTCACCGTCGATATCCCAAAAACAAAGTTCGTTACATCGGCAATACCGTAGCCCATAATTCACGCGATGCAAGCACAACACAGGGGGCACGTCACTTTATTAGCTCTCCCTAGGGGAAAGAGGGCGTAACGCAAACTTTTCCCGGTTCAAATCCCACGTCCCTTTCTTCCCGTCACCTGACAAAGGGCGCGTAAAAGTGGTTGCACGGGGTGCTCGAGTGCCGTGGACCAGGTGAAATCTCGTGGCACAGGGTAACGCGGGTCGAGAAGGAAGATTGATGCGGCTGGAACGAGGGGAAAAACAACTCGCGTGGGATGCGTTTGTTGCGGGGAGGGAGGGATGGCGGTTGCACGGCGAAGATAAAGGATACGGCCGGGCGAAGGAAAGTTTCCAAGCGGGACCAAGCAAATGGCGCACCCCGTAAAAGCGGATCCTGTATTGCGCAAAGGTGATTCTGGAAGGGGTCGCCAACCTTCGAGCGTGTAATTTACTCGACTGGAGGGGTGAAATAAGGCTGTTCGACGCAGAAATGCGGCAAGAATGGACCGTGACTCGCGTATGTCTTGTTACAACGGTGATGTGTTCGGTCATCCAGATTATTCTTGGCAATGTGTACGTCACGAAACGAGGGGAGACATCTGTTAAACGTTGAGCGATATGACTTCTACATAGAAGTGACGGAATTTGTTATCTAACAATGGGAAAATATGTGTAGGGTAAGTTATGTGATAGAATGTGATTATGATATGTAGATTATGATACAGAACTTAATTCGTGTAGTGAGTGCCCACATCCTAAAAGTTCGTAGAAGTGCACGTAGGTCAATAAATTTAAAAATTGTAATATGTATCTCCCAAAGTTTAGGACCTAAACTATAGACTTTTCGAAAGAATATTTCAAGATGAAGAAATAAAATTGTTAATCACTTTTTCTCAGCAGCGAAATATTGCAAAATTTAACTTGGAATACTAACAATTCCAAGATCTACTTTCGATTAATATCACAATGTAAAATTGCATCGAAATTGTTATCGAGCCGTCAATAAAGTTTTTTAAAAATATAAAATGGGTTTTCATTTCGGACACCAATTTCAGCCCGTGCCACGAGATCTCGTAAAATATTGTCGTGCATGTGCATGGGGCATTTTATGCCTCTGAATATACGATCCTTTTTCGAAGTGAGCAGAATACGCTTTCGAAATTTCGGAGCAGCCCAGGCGGCGCGCGGAGTTACTGACGGAACGGAAAAGCTTTTCATGCAGAAAGCCTTCCTCCTCGACGATTGAACGCGGCGCTTTTTGTCGCTGTACGGGTATAAGCCCC